CTATGAAGAAAACTGAGAGGTAACTCCTGGCTAAGGAGCTACTGAGAGCCTTGAACGCCCGAGGATGGTGTCGCAGATGTCCGTGAAGGAGCAGTGCAGGTGAGGACAGCCAAGCCTGTCCAGGAATGGATAACCCTCCTTCCCAGACTGGAGAGAGGTTATTCTTTTCCCGTGATAGCTAATGCTAGGGTTGGAGATGTTTAGTCCAGCCATGCCCTGGTGAATGGCGTGGCAGTGGCTACAGCTACAGTGCCCAACTAGGGCCTCTTGGACCCAGGGATCTAGCCGGTGCCGCAGGGAGGCAGGGCCATGTTCCCTCCTGTCCCTGGAGAATCTAAGCAAATTCAGTCAGACACCGAGTTAATCAAGGGTGGAGAAATGAAGGGGGTGCCATAGACGATCTCTAGGATATGAAATGCAATGGTCAGAATGACTGAGGAGTACAGAGAGCTAATTACGTTAGCACCTCTTTCCCAGGCTTTTGAACCCAACATTGATCTGCAGAGGAAGCAATCGATAGAAGTGGATGGAAACCTTGCACTGTCTTAGATCTTGCTTATGTTGGACTTTAGTATCTTCTGAGTTGTAAATTTTTGAGATCACCTGACACTTGCTCAGAATCCATGCCGATGGGCTTTCAGTGCTTCACCAAGGTTATCTTTGTAACTCTGCTATTGGTTGTGGATGGTGGTTCAGGATGTTGCCTTGACATGCCCATCTTCTGGAGAAAGTTTTCTTATGTAAGTGGCATGATGCTCACCTGAGTGTTTTGCAGATTTGGAAAGTCACTGGAGAGACATACAGACACATCTAAAGGAAGAAGAGAGTGAGATCAATCCACACAAGGTGCAGGGCCCAGATAACAGCTCTAAAATTCATGGGGTATTATGGTCTGATAAACCTGGACAATGAAACGCTCCTCAGAACAGGGGCTGAATGTTCGAGGTGGCATGTCTCAGGAGGATTCTAGGAATCACATGAAGAGACAGGCTGTGCAATGACATTAAGAAACATCTCCACCCACAAAAGGAAGTAAACTACAGGATACGGCAATGGCGTTTGAGATACTTCAGTCATGTTATGAGAATGAATAAAGGCAGATACCCAAAGACAGCACTGCTTGGAGGAGTTCATGGGATAAGGCAAAGAGGAAGGCCCGCAAAACACTAGATAGACCGCATAAAGGAAGACTGCGGAACCTTGGGTATGATGATAACACAAGTGTTTAGGACTGCCCAGGAACAACTGGAGAACCGCCATAAACAAGCTGCCTGTGCATGCTTAAGTATTGCCTGGCATACATGAATGATGAAGATACGTATATGACAATGTTGTTGAGAAAATCCTAAACAGCTCATATCTATAAACATAAAGGAGTTAGAATTATTTGGGGGCTCTTGGGATACTGGCAGCCCATCTTTCCAAAGCTATGTATTCTCTGTAGAACTCCAAGAAGGCTGCTATGTGGTATTGACATAGAAATACACAAGATTCTTTTGATCAGGCCAAGATTTTTTTAGATCTTGTGTGTCCCACTACCCAGTGTTCTTTCTGTTAAGTCAACAAAAATTCAGAAGGCTACAGCTGCCTGCTATAGCAAAAGCAACGTGAGCAATCAGTTCTATAAGGTTTTAGTCCCAGTCATGGGAAGGAGCTCCTTCCACAGCACTAGACCAGCAACTGTGAGGGATATTAAAGCATTGAGGCAGGTGGAGTCCTTAACTGGTTCCACCTCAATGATTGTAAAAAAATAAAAAGCCAGTTTATCCCATAAAAGACTGAATTGAAAGGGGGGTTGTAAAAAACAAGAGACTACATTTAAAAAAAAATGTCCCCTACATGGGTGGAAAGGATACTGCCAATGGGTTACAAAGTCATTGAATGAAGCTCCCAATGCCAAATGTGGAAGTACCTCCCTGTGAGCTTCTGCCCAGGGAAGTCCCTGAGGCCACACAAACCGTAACATTTGTTTCCGCTGCTGGTTGTATGCCAGAACTGGATTGTAAGATTTTTGCTCAAGACACTACAGGCTATATGTCTCCATGTATGCATGTGCACCACGGCAGGTATTGTGCTACAAGCGTGTAATCCCAGCACTTTGAAGGCAGGTCAGAAGACTAAGTCAGCCTGGTCTTCAAAGCAAGGTCTGGTCAATGTGGACTACAGAAAAACGGTTCAAAGAATCCAAAATTAGGGTTTTGGGGATAGCACACAGTACCGTGGGTCATGCCAGGGGAGCAGCGAGTTGCAGTTGAAGTTCAGGTGTCAGCCCAGCAGAAGGGAATCTTCTCATGGGTCAATCTCGTTGAGGCAAGACCACAGGACCACAGACATGGAATGTCTTCTGTCTCTGCTGTGCCTTTACATGTTTGCTGTGGCTCCCTTTCTCTAGTATCTAGCATGGTGTGAGGGACATGGGGAGATCTCCACTGCTGTCATAGTGTGTTTATATCTTGGAAATATCCTATTCTGCTGGACATTTCTACCCCGTGGATGTCAAGAAGATGACCCCTCCCAAGCTGACTGTCCAATTTGATGATAACATAGTTTTGATAAAAATAAATACAAGGATATATTTCAAAGCCAAGGTATGTGAGTCTCACCTACAGAGAGCTGCATGGATTGTAGCTCAAGTTAATAACAATTGAGTTATCCAGTAAATTAAGTTATCCTCATAGTCATATAAACCTTGCATGATAAGACCCATTGTATTGGTAGCCCAAACAGTTAAATTCATGTTGGAAACGAAAACTGCCATATTACATATTATCCAGCAGGTGGCGCTGTTGCCAAGTCGCGACAATACATATATACATATTAGAGTATATACATATTAGAGTATATACATATTAGAGTATATACATATTAGAGTAATATGTATATTCGAGTATTATATGTATATACTCTAATATGTATATATGTATATAGAGTATGTGTTAGAGTATGTATACATATTAGAGTATGTGTATAGAGTATATTAGAGTACTACTCAGCAGTAAAAAACAAGGACTTCTTGAAGTTTGCAGGCAAATGGATGGAAATAGAAAACACTATCCTGAGTGAGGTAAGCCAGACCCAAAAAGAGGAACATGGGATGTAATCTCTCATATTTGGTTTCTAGCCATAAATAAAGGACATTGAGCCTATAATTCGGGTTCTTAGAGAAGCTAAATAAGAAGGAGAACCCAAAGAAAAACATATAGGCATCCTCCTGAATATTAACCTTCATCAGGCAATGAAAGGAGACAGAGACAGAGACCCACATTGGAGCACCGGACTGAAATCTCAAGGCCCAAATCAGGAGCACCAAGAGAGAGAGCACGAGCAAGGAACTCAGGACCGCGAGGGGTGCACCCACACACTGAGACAATTGGGATGTTCTATCGGGAACTCACCAAGGCCAGCTGGCCTGGGTCTGAAAAAGCCTGGGTTAAAACCGGTCTCGCTGAACATAGCGGACAATGAGGACTACTGAGACATCAAGAACAATGGCAATGGGTTTTTGATCCTACTGCACGTATTGGCTTTGTGGGAGCCTAGGCAGTTTGGATGCTCACCTTACTAGACCTGGATGGAGGAGGGTGGTCCTTGGACTTTCCACAGGGCAGAGAACCCTGATTGCTCTTTGGGCTGACGAGGGAGGGGAACCTAATGGGGGGAGGGGAGGGAAAGGGGAGGCGGCGGTAAGGAAGAGACAGAAATCTTTAATAAATAAAAAAAAAGAAAAAATAACAATTGAGTCCCAATAGCCAAGCTAGTTTAAATTCTTTTAACCTTAATGTTGAGAAATATGTTCACAGGTCTCAGAGTGCATCACAGCTGAAATAAAGCTTTGGAAATAACAAAGTTAGGCTGAGATGTTTTTATTAAATAACTTTGAGGTGAAAAACTCAAGAAGACAATCTAAAGTTTTAGAAAGGCACACAGTTGAATGTGGTCAGGAAACAAGAACAAAGCCGCCCAATTATTACTGGCTGATGTACAGTCCTTGTTAGGTTTGGTTGATGACCAAAGGTGATGATTAATTCCTTATACCCATTTCTGCTCTCAGTCTCCTGATATAAAAACTACTGATGAATATGCACCCTAAAGATTTAAAGTAGAGCTGACTGATTCTTTATCATATATAAAAGCTTTGGTTTATGACTTTTTAAAGATTACCTTTCAAGATAAGTAATAAATTGGCCCTTTCTTTGTAACTGCAAAATTCAGCCTGCCAGTAAAATACCTGGCAAGAACACCTTGCTTGCCCACACAGTTAATCTAGAACAAGCTGCTTGGGTATGAATACATGTGGGTCCTTGGGATCATTTTCAGCTGTAATACATAAAATGTTTAATCATGTGATGGAGATGGAAAGCATGTTTTCGCCTATAATCATTCACTTGAGAAATGGAAAGCAACTTTTTTGACTCTTTCACTGCCTGGAATGTTCTGTTGGGGTGTAAACAACATGAGAGAATTTAAAAAAAAGAAAAAAGAAAGGAAAATATCAAGGGAGCTTGTGCTTGCCTTTTTCCTTAACCTCCCTCAGAAGAGTTTAGCCTCGCTGATTCTGTGGATTCCGTTCAAAGCCCTGTGCTGTTGGAGGCTGGGCCCCCAGACAGCAGCAATGGCGGTAAGAATCCTTCCTATGCAAGTGTGGGAGCTCAGTTTGAAAATCTGGCACCTGTGTATATATCCAGGCATGGCTGCATGTCCCTGTAACCTCAGTTAGAGGTGAAAATCTGGCACCTGTGTATATATCCAGGCATGACTGCACATCCCTGTAACCCCAGTTCAGAGGTTGAGTAGAAGGACAGGCCGAATTCTGAGAGCTTGCTGGCCAGCCAGCCTAGCCAAACTGAGCTTTCCTTTCTCAAGGCCATAGACTGAGAGCTGTGGAGGGAGACCTCTGACCTCCTGCCCCGCCCTCTGCACACGTGGACAATGGTGTGCACCCGTACACGTGCAGGTAATACACACAAACTCCCCGACGCTACACAAGACGTTCACAGGCATCTAACAGTGAATTTTCTTTATTCCCAGCACCAGAAGAGAGATTGTAATAGATCTTCCATAAGAGGGACATCTGCCCTTTTCCACTTGTCATTGGGGCTGGAAGAACTACATAACGTGGTCAAGGGCATTAAGTACATGTTTGTGCTCTCCTACCTCATGCTTTGACAGAAATCTGAAGTGCAGCTTGCCCTGAAGAATGCTTTTCTCCTTGGGAGACAAAACTGAGAGCTCCACTGAAAACTGATCTGACCTGTACGAGGGGCTGCCCTAAAGCTCTGGCAACCATCACGTGGAGACCTTTGCCCAAAGTTTCACTGTGTTTCAATGTGTAAGAAACGAATTGCTTGATGTCAGACTCCAGAAGTTTTGGCCCATTGCTTGCTAACTAAAGCCAAGCTGAACCCAAATTTCATTTTACCTTGCCCGGATTGTTTTCCTGTTGGCCATAATGCTTGCAGGGACACCCACAATACACAGCACATGCGAACACTTGCAAATGTGCATGTCGGAACACTTTGGGGGTGCACAAAGGCAGGTGCTGCTTCATAAAAATGAAATGCAACCGTCAGAGAAAGAACTCCCCAGAGTTATTTAAAATAGTTTCACTTGTACAGAACATGTTCACATACATCCTAGGCAAGCTGCTTGGCACCACCCGGACTCACAAGGAACTGGAACTTTGAAGAATGACTTTTAATGACAGATGAAATTAGAAAAATACTTCTTTGCCTCAACACTGGAACACTAGTGACTGCCTGTGCTCAGGGAGAGGAGATCTGGAATGGATTGACTGCTCAGAGAACAGCTTAGCCAGTGTACTTTCTAGGAGACAGAAGGAGCCGCTGTCACCAAGGTCAGATTTATGTGGATCCAGCCTAGAGAGCAGCACCAGTTCCTCTTGAACGAAGACGAGGTCTTCCTTATTGTTTGTGACAATGCTCAGGCCCTCTGTTCGGCCCTGGGACAATCACATGTGCTGTGGTGTACTCCTTTCTCGCCTGCCAAGAGAAAACAACTTGTCACATTTCCCTCGGGCCTTCAGTCCCGCTCTCTCTTAGCACACGTCCTACACTGAATGTCCTACACTGACCTGCGTCTGAGACAAAGCATGACGTCCCCCCCCACACACACACAGTGAATAGCTTTCATCCTCCTCCCTCACCTCAGTGTTTCACAGCCTTGGCTGTTCTGTTTTACCGGGGTACTGCATTAAGTCACAGACGCCGGGATGAACCTGAGATGTTCCCCTAGCACATGCTAGGCCTAGCTCAGGGTTCCTGGGGTGCTCTGGAGAGAGCCCCATCTTTTAGCTGCCTAAAGCAGTTTCCCTGCTCCAGCCTCCTCATTAAGGCCTTGGTGAGGGTTGCTTCCCATCGCTCAGGGGCTTGTTTAAAAGTGAGGGATGGGTTCAAGCTCTCCCTCAGTGGCCTCGCCTTCCTCACAGTTCCTACATCTCCTAGTGGACACACTGCTCAGTGCTCTCTATCCCAGGGTCCCTTCCATCTCTGCAAAGGACCGCACACCTTATGGACACATATGAAGACCTTAGATGATTTCCATTCCCAGGCCCCAGCTCAGGGGGAGCTCAGAAGAGGACACAAGGTGGGCTGAATCCTCTCTTTAGAATTAGTCAGCGGGGCAGCCTCCCTGCCTCATGCCGGCCTGTCTGCCTGCTTGCCTGCCTTCTTTTCCTGTGAGACAACGGCTCACTCTCTATCCGAGGCTGGCCTTGGTTTGCAAAGGGCGGGGACACTGTCATTAGCTAACAGTAGAATGAATATTGCTATCACACTGAACCAGTCCGTTCAAGGGGCTCTAAAAAGCAACCAAGTATGAAGTTGTCAGATTCAGAGGGCCCAGACCTTTCTACACACTGCTCATTCTGTGGAGTGATACATATAGACTCGGACCCTGGATATGCATCTGGAGAGTCATGGGCAGCCAAAGAGAAGAAACAGTTGTAGATCAGGCAAGAGCGTCCATGTCTTTATCAGTGTACCTCACAGGACACCATGTGTGCTTTGGCGCAGAATGGAAGAACTGGCCACACAAATTTTTCAGAATGACTGAGTATTACAGGCTTTGAGGTTCTGAACTGCAATGGACAAAAGAGAAAAGTATGAGGATACAGAGTCTGGTATTCCTGAGCAGAACTCAGCCTGGTAGCCTGGAAGAAAAATGCAAAATCCTGGAGATTCTCTCCATAATTATGGTCTACCTCCCCAGGAAGGAACCACAAAGTGGGCAAGGAGGTTTTTATTCTCCAAGCTCTGACCATAGCTGATCGGAAGTTGTGACGATGGACTTCACTGTCAGCATGAGTGAACAGGGAAGTATTCCTGGATGTGACTGTGAGTTGATTGTAAATCATTTCTGTGTGGGTTCATGGACTAAGTGGGCAAAGTCGAGAGAGGTCTAAACTCAGGTGGGTAACCTGAAGCCATCTGGGAGTTAACAGGACAAACAGGCAGAGAAAAGGTAAACTTCCACTGTGTCTCTCCTGGGACAGACATTTTGTCCTCAGATCTCCAGGTCTGCTGGCCACTGGAACTCTGAGGTGCGGGCTTGTGCTTCCCTGGGTCGCCCAGACTCTTGCATCAGACTGAGACTCACACAAGTGGCTTCCATGTTCTTTGCCTTTCAGACTGAGCCAAACTACTAGTATCCCGAGCTTCCACCTGCGGGAAGTCTGTTGTAGGCATGCTCGGCCATGCAGATCATTTTCCCCAAGAGCTGTGAGACCCCACAGGATTGTAAGTGGTTGCACACAGCTCGGAAATACACACAGAAGCTTGTCTTGAGGCCAGACTACCACAGACTGCCCCCGGTAGGACAACATTGTAGGAATGGGGGAGACCCCTGAGACCCCAGAACAGCAGGGTGATCCTTATGCTTACATAGCCTGAAAAACTGCAGCCCGAGCAACTGAGTGAAGATGGTGCACTAAACCCAGCAAAGCCACGGGGCCACGGTTGTCTGCTTAGCTGGGAACAGCCACCCCTTTCTGGATTACTTCTCCCAGACCAATAGGAACTGAACAGCTTACTCCTGCTCCTTCGCTTACTCCTGTATTACGCACTTGTGCGGATTCCTGACTGCTTAGGCTCAAGGCAGGGCAATGCTGACTCTGACCTGCTTCTGAGACAAAGCATGACGATTTGATTTGAAACTCCTCCTCATTCAAGAAGAGGCTTTGACTCACACAGGGCAAGCTAAGAATCAAGCAGGTCTTAAGAAACATCTGAAAAGTCAGCCCTGGTGATGTACACAGGGCAACACTTACCCACTAAGGCAGCATGACCTCAAGGCTACAAAGCCAGGAGTTTAAAATGAAGAGTAATTTAGCTAAGATAATTAGGAACTTCATTTTTCTGAGATAATTGTGTGTTTCCCGTTTTAATCCTTTATGTATGATCTGTGTGTGTTAAGGATCTGTGGGTATCTTGAAAATGCATGTTCATGTGTGAGCAAGGACACTCAGGTACTTCAGCACACCTGCAGAGGTGAGCAGACCGCCGGGAATGCTCTCCTTTCCTGGGCTTTTGGTCAAGCAGTCTCTTCTGTGCTGCTGTGTCTGCTCAGGTAGCTGTGCTGTCAGAAGCCAGGGCTTCTCCTGTCCCCACGTCCCCTCACCTGAAGAGAACTCTCACTGCACATGGAGGTGGCCAGCCCTACCCGGGGTTCATGTGCTTTCTGGGGGTTCCATCCCAGGCTCTACACAGTCACGGCCCATGCTTCATCCATGGAGTGAGTCCTCGTCTCCCTGGCTGTTTTTGAGCATTTCCTGTGAGGGGCTACCAAATGCTGAAAACAGTCTCATGCAGGCGAAATCCTCTTACCTTCCCTCTGTTATGTCATGAGATTATCTGAGAGGCCAGCTTTCCAAGAATAACCATGCAGCACAACACATTCCTTATGACAGACGACTCCGTGTTTTCTTAATGAGCTTAACATGATTCTCCAAATCTCTACAGAGTTCTTAAAACATGAGTGTCTGAATTCCAACAAGCTTTAAAGAATCTGAACTGGCTTAACCAAATTCCAACAAGTTTTGAAGAAACTGTACTGGCTTAAAGTTAAAGGCCATTCTTCTAAGGCAGTCAGAGTTGCAGAACATGCAAACACAGTACTCATCTGCTGTGGGACAATGATCTTGTACCCTGTAAAGATATGTCTGTTGTATTGGTTTAATAAAACGCGGATTGACCTAGGAGAGAGATGTTATGTAGCATCGTCAGAGACAGACACACCAGATCTTTGCCGGTAGGCCACGAGCCTTATGGTAAATATAAAATAATAGGAATATGTTGGTTTAATACGTAAGAGCTTGCTAGGAATATGTTAGAGTCGCTGGACAAGCAGTGTTTTAAATAATAAAGTTTCTGTGAGATTATTTCAGTTCTGGGCATCCAGGAATGAACAAGTAGTCTCCTTACAACACTCATCACATGAGGTTCTGTTACTACAGCAGAGTAAGAGGGACCCTGGAAGCAAAATCCTGAGGACACAGACAAGGGGACACAGCATGTGCTCCAGACTTCAGATACCAGTCCACCAGCACTGTCTTACCCTACCAGTGAGCTCCAGTCTCACTCCTGTGTGGCTGACCCGGATATAATGGGGACAACTCCTACATAAGTCTTTTCCAAGTCAGGAACATGTGGTGACTTACCTGGCCTTGTTAACACCATATTTCTCCAAGACCAAGTGGGTTACGCTGCTGTGCTGAGGACTAATTCGTCAGAAGCTTCCTCGAAGCCATACCAGTGCGGGCTTGAAAGGTGTGGTTCCTACAGAAGAGGCCTCAGCCGTTGGAGATGACCATGCTGCACCAGGATCCACCACTCCGCTCTGACTTTCTTCACCACCATCCATTGGCCCAGCTGGACCAGAGACCCCCTTAGCAAATCCTGAGGGTTTTCGTAAAATCTTTCCAGAAGGCAGCATTCTGTCCCACTTCCTCTTCTTTTTTCTTCTACAGAAAGGGAAAAGGATGTAGGCTAATTGTGGTGGTTTGAAAGAAAATATCCCCCATAGGAAGTGATACTTCTAGGAAGTGCGGCTTCATTGGAGTAGGTATGACCTTATTGAAGGAAGTTTGTCACTGCCGGGGGATGGGCTTTGAAGTCTCCTATGCTCAAGCTACACCCAGTGACATAGTTCATTTGCTGTTGCCTGCCATCAAGATGTAGAACTTTCAGCTTCTTCTCCAGCACCTTATCTGCTTACATACTGCCATGTGCTGCCATGATGACAATGGACTAAATCTCCCAAACTATAAGTCATTATAATCCAATGTTTTCCTTTATAAGAGTTGCCATGGTCATGGTGTCTCTAGAAATCATAACTAAGACACTAATACTTCAACTTCAGAAGAAAAAGCCTTGGCATTACAGAGATGACCAAGTGTATTTCTGTTCAGGCCTGACATCTCAGCATAGAGCCCATGCACCCCTCCATAACATAGCTGCCACCCCTTACTCAGTTGCCATATGGATGTCTTCAACAGCAGCTAAGTCTCAATATTCTCAGTAGCCCACTGCACTGTTGGGAGCAGTTGGGGGGACTTCTATTGCTGCCTATTCACGTGTGTGCGACACTGAATCACAGTCTCCATTGTGTAGCCCAGCACAGTCCCAGGGCACAGGCTGAGTAGTCAACACACAATCCTCCTGTCTCTGTGCTCTCCACACCCTGACCTTATCTGCCAGGTGTTGTTCATATTCCATGGTGTACCTCCAGGAACTGGCACTGTAGGTTCTTAGTCCTATCTAAAATAAGATTTACAATCTGCAATACAAAACCACAGTGCAGAATTGGAACAATTCTAATGACAGAAAAGAGAAAAACAGGTCAGGAGAGGCAGCCATGTCTTAGGCAGGACTGGCGCCCCATTCCCTGCCATCCTGCGCCTCTGTACTGCTCAGCAGAGGCAGCTTCAGCTCCCTCCTGTCCACAGTCAGGATCTGTGGCTTTCCTCTCAGCCGCTCTGTGCTGCTCTGGAGATTTTAGGTTGGCCACAGAGGCAAGGAAGACCTACCTTGAGGATGCGGTTTCTTCTACCAATGGTAACAGAGTTTCCATATTCAAGGCCTTTTTTAAGTTTCTCAACAAAGTACCTAAGGTAACAGAACAGAGTGACTAAGATGTACAGAAAATTTCCAAATGTCTATGTGAGGCCCCGAGGAAGTGTGGTCTCTGCACACAGGGTTTCAGAGATACCTGGAGTGAGAGGAGGCACACCCTGAAATCCCAACTCCCTTCCGTCCTCATTCCCGCAGAAAGGTTCACACTCCTCAGTCAACTGGCACATTCGGCAAACAGCAGCCATCAGGAAGTATAGCTAAGCTGACATGGCGCTTGTCATCCCAGCACCCGGGAGACTGAGCACAGAATAGTGATCCCTAGAACCTTGAAGAAACAGGCCATACTGCTCACCTTCAAATCAGGAAATCAAAACAGCGGTCTCTTTCTTCCACTCCCAATAGCAATATGGATCTTTGCTCTCGCAGCACCTTGGTGTTTGTTTCTCATCAGGACAAAGCCTCACCTTAGAGATCAAGTGATGATGACAGAGGTAGGAGGGGGTGTGCCCTGGAGACTCTAGTGGGTGCTGGACCCAGGGATGCTGCTAACCTGCCTCTACACATCAGTCCAAGAACCAGGGAAGATTCATGACTGTGTCACAAACTGCTCGAGAGGAGGGTGTGCTCATAAACCCCGTGTGACAAACTGATGTCTGGGAGGACACGTGTGTTCCTGCTAAGACTGACTTGTCTTTGGAGTGGGGAGGAGCTGAGGGAGTTTTTCTATGATCTTAAGAGACTGCCTTCACCTTACAGAATACGAAAAATGGAAAACAAAAAGAACCCATATTCTAGATGACCCCTGATATAGGAACTGCACAGCCTGGGAAATGCAGAGTGTGGGACCTGAGCTCATTCCTGAACCTGTGGGACAGGAAGGTGACGCGCCTACTCAGCATACACAGCCTTATGACAATCAGTGACGTCATGCCCAGGAAACCCTTCCCAGGGCCTGAGTTCCTTAGGTTCTGTTTTACCAAACTCAGGTATAGACTTGACCAGTGACACCTAGACCATTCACTCCCTTCATCAAACACATGCACTCTTGTCATTGGACCTGTAAGAGTCATTGTCTGGGGACAGTTCTGTAATCTTGTATTAATTCTGCATACCCAAGTATGATGAACAGCCCAGGGACTGTGCTGAGCCACGGATCCCAGATGTTTCACAGTTCTCTCCAGTGACTGGTGGCTAAAGGGAAGGGTAACCTCTTTCCTATAACACTCGGTGACCTAAAAGGATGAAAAGAAGAGGAATCTGGGCTCTGCCACACACAAGTGTTAAGCCTGTGACTGGTTGCCTGAGCAGAGAAAGGGCAGGTACTCACCAGTGTGGACACACCCAGCTTACACCTTTCCTGACAACTCTTTGCCTAATGGCTGGGTCAGGTGGACACAGACAGACCCAAGTCTCCTACTCATAAAATTCCTTATCTGTGATACCATCACCTTTGGTACCTGTACCTTTGGGTAGCAAGGAAAAGCATGTGTACGAGCTGCCAGAAACCTGATTAATAAGATGGCATTGTCAAGTTCCGTACTGTCCGCAAAGGTGAAGCATGAACAGGAGGGCAGGTTGAGTGAGGGACCAGTCACGGGACAGGAGACGGAACCGCAGGTTCTCACGTTTGAAATCTGCGATGCAGCACCAAGGTTTCTTTCAGATGTCTCCGTGTTAGTGCTGGGCTGCTGCCGTTCCCAGGACAATGCCGGAGGCCCAGGATAACTTGTTTCTACACTCTAGTCAAGAGCATATAAAATTTGGAATTACTCTAGGGGCAGGAGATTGACATCTTCATGTCTAAAAGTGGAACTGTTATAAGAGAGAAAAGAAAAGGCAGGGAACATCAAAACCCATCTCCTGCCATCCTGCCATTCCAGCAGTTTAGCACACGTGTGTGTGTGTGTGTGAGAGAGAGAGAGAGAGAGAGAGAGAGAGAGAGAGAGAGAGAGAGAGAGAGAGAGAGAGGAGAGAGAGAGAGAGAGAGCGCAGCCTGGGATAGTCTCAGTGTGGTAGTAAGGCGGTAGAATAGGGACTCCGGCATTGTGATGGCGGGCAGTGCTCCTAACTCAGTATCTACCGTGCTGATGTGTGCAGGCACACCTGAGGGGCAGCGAGGAAGGCAAACTCAGTCCCTGTTGTCTAAGGATGAAAAGAAAATGTGCATTAACTAGATTAAACACAGAAAAGGGCACTGGGGCCTTTAAACTTGCCATAAACGGTTGCATGCAAATTACCTCTCTTTTTAACTGTAGTGAGACTCAGTTCCTTTGAAGCTCCAGCTGTCAGACATTCTGTAGTACTTGAGGGGTCTGGTGGTCTGAGCTCTGGATTTAATAAGGCTACTGCCTGTCACCAGATAAACTAGTAGTTAGGAAAGCAAGTTCCTTTGCTTGTCTGGGAACTTATGTTCATTTATCTTAATGTGTGCATTGCTGAAGTAGTGATCTCACATGGACATGGAGATCTGGGCTTGTAAACCTGCGAGTCCTTGGCTGAAGCACCAGCACTGCAAAGTGACACACTTAAAAACAATTTTAATTTTTAAAAAATGGGATTGAATCAATGCTTTTTTAACACAAATTCACAATGAATTTTAACCTGAAAAAAAAAAAGATTCCATTAAAGCACAACCAGAATTCTACTTTAAAGAGTGTGCTTGCCCGGAGCTCATTATGAAACAGGTCTGCCATGAAGTAGTGGTGACCCAGCTACCTCAGTCCCCACGTGCTGAGGTGACACACGTGAACACAGTCCTGGCACTGACACCACTGTAGAGTCTGTCTGGAGGCTCACAGCAGGGAACACAGTCGCCCCTGTTCCCTAGACATCAAATAGCCCCATTTCTCTCTCCTGAAGGTCCAGTTCTAACCGTAAATCCCATGTCCAGGAGGGTTGCTCACGGAACCCTGAGTAGGCCACAGCTGCTTCTCCATCCATGCCAGCCAAGGCAACCCTGCTCATGGAGGGGGGACAGATGTGGCAGCCAATTCCCCTCACACCCAGCGCCACTGCGGAACAGCACTAACCTGGAAATGCTGCTGAGGAGAACTGAGTGGGGGCTGCCACTGCAGTGAAGCGTCCCAAGATGCTCTGAGGGCGCCTGTCTACACACAGCGCTTTCTCTGCTTCTGCTGAGGTGCTCTGGGAGCCCCTGGTTTCCTTCTATTCTGTGCTCCTAAGTGCTCGCTACCCCAGTGAGTGCAGAGCACAGTCTCCCTGTTATTCCATGGTGGAAGATGGAGATCCATTTAGTGAGAGAGGAAATGCTCTGCCCAAAATCACAACCCCAGATCTATTAGGGCCAAGTCCGATACTATGGTAACAGAATTTAATGCAGAATTTCCCTATGCCTCCACACTGTCTGCATTGTTGTGGAATATTTGGTCACATAGTGAACTCCAAGTTTGCATTTGTGTTAATTAAATAAAATTAACCTTCAGTCAGGAGGCTGTGTTAGCCACTAGTTGCCAGAAAGTAGTCACTGAGTCTCAGAGGGCATCCGGGAAAGATAGATGCAGGAAGTAGTAGGGTGGGGTTTCGAGTGATGCCAGTTTTTCCAGTTTGGCAAAGCAGAAGCATGGGTCTTCTGTGGATGACAGCAAGGAGAGAGGGTTAGCCAGATGGTACTCACCCTCTGTGAGCTAGCGGGTTTTCACCCCAGCCTTTGAATCTCAAGTCTTATTCATAATTAGAAAGATATTTAGTTAAAGCATGCCACTGGGAAAACCAGTGACTACACCAAGCTTTAGGGAGAAGTGCAAGACCCAAACTTCTGACTCCTGAGATCTGAAACACCTTATGCTTTGGTGACAATGCTCACTGTGGTCAGGTTTCTTGCTCTTGATATGGTGGATAGGTCATAGGTATCTGTCAAGTCCATCCTCTTGGACACATAGGCTCAAACTGTTGCAATCCTCCGTATCACCACTTAGTGAGCAACTTTTTTGAGTAACTGGCCTTTGAGCTCCCAAAATGATCTTTCCCACTAAATACAAACCTTCCCTGGTGTTGCACAGTGCACACCAGGCCCATTCTGGGAAGCCAGCACCGCCCTCCTGCCTCTGCGTTGCTCGCACTGACCTTGTCTGCCACGGGCCATTCATACTCATTTGTGGGCACTGGGACTTCACTGCTCAGCTTCAGGAAAGATGGCTGTATTGAGAGTCTGCGATACAAAGCAGAAATGGAGGATCAGAATAGTTCTATTGTCAGCTAGGAGGGAAAGAAGACAGAGGGGAGGCGGCAGTGTCTCCCACAGGATGTGAACCCTTGCCCTGCCATACCGTGCTCATCCCTATGGAGAGACAGCATTAGCTCCTCCCACTACCACCCCCACCCCACCCTCCACCGCCATGTTCAGGGTCTGTGGCTTTGGTACTCTGTTCCACTCTGCAGATTTCAGGTGGAACACAGTGACAATGAAGAGCCACCCTGAGGATGCCCTTTGTTGCTGCAGTGGTGGCAGATGATCAGTATCTGTAACATTAAGCAATTTCTCTATAGTCTAAGGAAATAGACCAGGATGACTAAGGTGCACGGAAAATGCGCAGATACCCTGAAGAGACATGGTCCCTGAATGAAGGTTTCCAGAGGTCCCTGAAGTGAGAAGAGGCACGCTCTAAAGGCCTTGTCCCTCTCATCCCCATGCCTAAAGAGAGAGGCCTCTGATCCTCTCTAAAATCAGGCCCTTTTAAGTAGACTCCAGCTATCTGAATGATGTGCGCCTGTCATTCCAGTACCTGGGAGGCTGTGGGTGGAGGCAGTGAACCACGAGAACAAGAGGGAACAGTCCACACTTGTTACTTCTTACTTCAAAACAGAAAATAAAGACATTTGTCCCTTTCTGCCACTCTCAAGTCACAGAGTTTTGCTCATACAGTACTTGGGCATGTTACTTCTCAGTCATGGCAACACTCCACCTCAGATAGCTTTGGTAAAGTCAGGAGAGACTGGGGTTGTTAGCGCTGTTGTCATCTATACCACGCAGTCTTCGCCAAGGCTTCAGGAGTTATTCCCTGCGACAGCTCTGAAATGTTACATGCATATTCCTACCTGAAGGCGATGAACAGGTCGGGAAAGGTCATACTGTGGCGATCCACACAGTCAGCAATTGGTCCATAGTCACCTGGTGACGGTGTGGCTATGTTGAAGCCTAAGAAGGAAATCTCTTTCCTATTACAGGAAAAGGAGAGAAAAGAGCTGGGCTCTGTCACACACCAGTGATAAGCCTGTACTTGGCCACTTGAGTAGAGAAAGGGCAGTCAAAACACTCACCAATGCTGACACACCCAGTTTACCCGCCAACTCTTTGGCCTCACAGCCTGGGCCATGTGGGCACAGACACAACCAAGTCTCCTACTCGTGAAATTCCTGGGTCATGACAACACCACCTTTGGTCCTCATGTCTTTGAATAAGGACGAGCATGTGTGTGAGCAGCCAGAAATCTGATTTAAAAATGACATTGTCACGTTCCATACTGTCCACAGAGGTGAGAAGCATTTTCAGGAGGGCAGGAGGAGTGAGCGAGCAGTCACGGGAAAGGGATGGAAACTGCAAGTTCTCACGTTAAAATTTGTCCCATAAGGGGAAGTCCTCGTCCGTGTTGCCCTTTGTGGGCTGACGCCATGCAGATGATGGTGTTTCCACAGCCAACACAGCAAGCACAGAAAGGTCTTGGTTGAATTCGATTTTGTGGCCACGTTCGGGTAAATTCTTCATCCACTCTTGTGGTGGGAGACAAAGATTGGGTCATTCTGAGACGAGAGAGAGAGAGAGAGAGAGAGAGAGAGAGAGAGAGAGAGAGAGAATGTGTTTAGTTTCCCAAAGGAAACTATGTCACATAACGAAGACTAATCTGGCTCTTGTAGTGCCTGGTAATCTTAGATATTTGCATATTGTTACCATGCCTACAGAATTTCTACTATTTGCTCTTAGGCCACATACAAATAATTTTTCGTAATTTCCAAAATACTGGCTTTTTAAAACTGTATCAGATTGGGTCTTACAAGCTTTCTGCCTCCTCTGCCAAGTTGCTAACTGAGCCCTGGGGGGAAGGGTTTGATGAAGACATCCCATTTAGGAGTGAGTTTTCTGAAGGCTCATACTTTCTGCACATCACCAACTATTTTATCAGTTAATGTCATTCGGAATGTGCCTAATCTGTGTTTACAGTCTCTTCCGTTGTAAACAAACTTTGTTCTGTTAATTTAGGGCTTTTGCCTTTCCAGTTAGTAACGAACTGATATTGACCTGCTTTTCATTATACGGGGATTTTCAGAATGGTGAATGCATGTGGATTTAAAATTGACTAAAATGTGACTTCTCCCAAAGGATTTGCCTAGTGATTGCTTGCTCATTCATTCATTCATTCATTCATTCAATACTTCTGGCCTTTCATTCAGCTTGCACAGATCTAAGTTGCTGTGAATGTCACCGTGAGTGGATGGGAGGCTCTCTCAGAAACTACAGACTGGGCTATAACTTATTGCTAGTGGATGGGAGGCACTCTCAGAAACTACAGACTGGTCTATAACTTATTGCTAGTGGATGGGAGGCACTCTCAGAAACTACAGACTGGTCTATAACTTATTGCTAGTGGCGAGCATAATTTTCCCCGTTCTGCTCTGGGACTCACTCCACTGCTCTGACGTCAGATGCCCCGTCCTTTGGTTCCACTTGTAGGTGAACCAGAGATTCCATAGCAGGCCCAGGAGCTGTGGGAATCTTGCACTCGAGTTCCTCTTTTCTCTGGTCTCTCTGGTGTTTGCTAGAACATAGAGCCGTGCTGTGCACGGCTGTCATGGCACCTGCCGTGTGATACCAGTAAAGCTGGCTGTCATTGGATGGGTGTATTGTTGCCAATTTTTTTTGTCAATCAGATGGGATTGTTAAACATGTGTTTCCTTCATTCCCTCTGTGTCTCTGAATTTATAAAAATTCTACTAGTCATAGAATAATC